TCCACTTCCACGTGGAGCGGATCCTCCAGGAGCAACGGTGTCGCGGGAAGCGACAGCTCCTCGTGAAGTGGAGGGGTTATGCCCACTCCGAGAACTCGTGGGAGCCGATTGAACGGCTCCTGATTGACTGCCCGAAGGCTGTCGCAATCTGGGAACAGAAGCGGTGGCAGCTTCATAAGTAGTCCGGGGCTTCTTGCCCGAACGGGGTACGGATGATGAATACATACCGTACCCGCGCTCATCGTGAGCGCTAGAAGCCGCGCGCTTCAGGATGTCCCTTGGCAGCATACGCTTGCTGATCAAGTGGGCAAACCTCACACGAAGATCACGCTGGTCCAGGATGTGGGACAGCTGCTGATCTTCATGGAGTTCCCATAACTCCGTGGGCGAGTACTTGAGAGTCTCCACCCACGCCCAGAACATGTCCTCACAAGAACTCCATGTGGGACAGTTCTCGGGCATAACCCAGGGGTATCCCCAAACAGGATAGAGACCACCCCGGGTCTCGGGCTTCTTAAGACAAGTCGTGAAGTCCTTAAGGGGAATGCGGTGTGGCGCGAGAAGCACACACCGAGCAGCCTCCACGTTGTCGACGAACAACTGTTCTTTCTGAACAAGGGCTCGTTCATAGATGCCCCTAGAAGTGTGGCCGCCCACAAGGCCACGAGGAGCGACGAGAAGCTCTAAGAAGAGGTCAGCCCCAGAGCTCTCCTCGGGAGGCCAATACCCTCTTGAGTTGATGGCAGCTCCCTGGCTGACGGGTGCCGCCACCGAACCCCCACGCACACGCTGGGCAGCTTGGAAATCCTCCTGCTGCTGGTCGAGGTCATTCGAGACCTCCCGGGGCTCAACAATGGCACCCTCCTCTTCCTCTTCTTCCTCCTTCTCCTCCTCTTCATCCGAGGAGCCGAAGAGACTCTGATAGGAGCGTCGAGTCTCCTTCTCCTCGCGGAGTGGAGACTTAGAGGCGGTACGCTTCTTTGAGGGCTTGGCGCCTTCGGCTTTAGAGGCCTTAGCGCGCGCAAGACCCTCGGCAAGCGAGAGACGTTTGCGAGGAATCCCTTCCTCATCGCCACCGGCTTTGGGAGTGCCCTTAGCCTTAACGGCCGGACTCTCAGAGCGCACAGAGGTCCTGGGACTGTGATCACCGTGATCACTAGCGGACGACTGCACGCTGTCTTCTTTGTGCTCACTGGGCACTGGGCTGTGCCCTCCCACAGAGCCCGCAGGAGCATCATGAGTGCTCTCGGACTCGGCATCGTCCTCACTGCCCGAGTTGAACTCACGTTCTACGAACCGAGGGTTCGGACGATTGTCTGAAGACGAGGGCGACGGACTGCGGCGCCTGCTTGCGCGCTTGTCCGCAGCCGCGTCACCCGAGGATCCGATAGCCTCGGAGGCCACCTGAGTAGCCTCCTTAAGTGCAGAGCCTTTGCCGTGAGGCTTAGTGCTCTTGGCCTGCGCCTTACCGGCTGCAGCCTTGGAGCGTGTCTTAGCACCGCTCTTAGCAGTGCCACGAGGCATGTTAACGGTCGAAGTGGAGACCTTGACGAAGAGCGCACAGGTTGCTGCTCGAGGCTCTAACTGTAAAGTGAGCCTCCGCCGCGCTCGCGCGGCCGAGTCGATGGTTTTCGACTTTGAGAATGAGAGTTTGTGACGAACATCTCTTCATTCTGATTGGTCGGTAAACCGAACCTAAGTGGGGGAGGATGTAACGGGGTACGTAGCACTAAGTGTACCCTGGTTACATGAAGTGTGACACTTCACACTTCAGGAGTATGACATGTCATACTCCGGGATATTTGGTACAAGGTACCAAGGTCATTCAAAACCAACCATTGGTTAAATGACATTGCATTTCTATAGGTAACTGATAGTTTGTATTAACCACAAACTTAACCTACCTATAAATATACTCAGTTTACAATCTACCTTATTTAGGTCACTTCGCTCTCTTTAATTAAAGAGGGGACCTGTGAACTGCCGTTCACTGAGAGTTTGTATACTCTCGGAAGATAACTTCCTCTAGCGCAAGGTGCTGTGTGACCCCGTCACACCCACGCTCGGCAGCACGCGCAGATTCGTGGCGATCGTCCAGCAGTATTCAGACCCCGAGGCGGGAAAAATGTGTGGTCGCCCCCCTTTACTATACGGTATACTTTGTCCGGAAAGGGGTATTTATCTGAGGAGGTTTAGGGTCGACTCGACTCAGATTTGGCAGATTTTCATTCGGGCAAATGAATCACTCTCTTATTTAAAAGGCGACAATTGTGCGGAATCCGCAAAAAGATACCAAATAGCTTTAAAGTTTTTTTAATTCGAAGCACCTAAGTCCCAGCAGTGAACGGTCCAATCTTAAAAAAGTAAAAGGCCGACTGAACAAGCCAAAAAACGTAAGTGGGGCACACGTCAGGATGGAGAAGATACGTAAGGTTCTCAGTGAAAGCCACATTGTATTAAGAAGGATGAAACTGGAAGTCTGGGATCTACAAACTACCACTGCTGAATGCAGAAAATAGAGAAGGTGTGTCTAAGAAGCTCTCGTGCACTTTACGGGGTCTTACCGATGGACCCTGGTGCCTTCATCTTCGTGGACTCACTCTGCGAAGCTGGAGGCCATGTACAGTGCCCACGAACGAGACAGACCGTCGTCCATTTTGGCTTTCTGCAGTACACCCAACGCGCGCTGCTTATCCACCATAGCGAAGTTGGCGTACAGCAGTGACAGCCACGCGTTGCCTGTATCCTCACGCGTAACGATCGTCTCCTTGCCCAGCACCTGCTCCCACTCCTCCTTGACGAACTGCTTGGTGCGCACGAACTCGGTCACAGCCGACACGGGGATCATCTGGATACCGTGGATGCAGTACTTCTCGGCGCTGAACCACGTGGCGTAGTCCACTTTGTTGTCGAAGAAGATGCCTGTGACTTTATTGGGACGGAAGTTGGCGGGGTGGATCTGGTTGGCGTCCTCAATGAGGAAGTAGGTCTTGATGGCGTGTGTGTTGACGCGAGTCATGAGCTTCCCGACGGCCTCCATGGCGGCGTTGTTGGTGGCCTTACCGTACATGTACATGCCAAAGGCGAAGTTGACATCCTCCGACGTGCTCTCCTGGTCTTTACCGTCCGCGAATGGGGTGACGCCGTGCGAGTACGAGTGTCCGCGGTACCAGTCGAAGGAGCGGAATCGCGCGAAGAACTTGTCGTCCGGGTCAAAGTTGGCGACGTCACGGACCAGCAGGTTGACCATGGTATTGAGCTTGGGGAGGTCGCTCCAGCTCGGGTCCAGGCGGTTGATGATGGCTGCCGTGTGGATCCAGTAGCCGTAGTGGAAGTGGTGGTCGTTGTACATAGTGTTGCCGAAGTCAGCGTTGAGGTCTTTGGTCTTGAACCCCTGCGAGCTCACGATACCGCCGTAGATTTGGTCGTACTGGAGCTTGTTGGCCCAGGAATTGGCCACGAACGGAGCCATCACACCACGAAGCTTATTGAGACACGAGTTGAGGAGACTCTTGTCGCCTCCGACGATGGCCGGGTCGTTCGCGATCAGACAGAGCGAGGCGTACTTCTGTGCAGCTTTGCCGTTAAAGTAGTAGCTGCCATCAAGAGGAATGGACCACCCGGCATTGATGTCTTCACGCAGGTGGTCGACGATACGTTGTTGCTGAGCCATGTTGGACGCGATCTTGCGGGACGGGTAGAAGTCTTCCGGTACTTGTTGAGTTTCCTTGATCTCCCACACGGGGTCGGCTGAGCCTTCAGGCGTCGTGAAAGCCTGATACGCTCCTCGAGTAGTTGAGTACGCCACGATCCCGTCCACCTGACGGACACCACTGCTCGTGTCGATGGTTTCAGTGTGGTGCTTCATAGCGTAGTGCAGCAAACCGCAAGAGCAGTCGCCCGTCGTCTTCCACTTGAACGCGTAGGAGCTGTCGTCATGCAGGTCGATGGTTGCAGCCTGAACGATGCAGGATTTGTGTTGGTCCAGCGTAGTCAGCCACGAATCTTCAAGCACCAGAGCAACACGCAGAATACCGTCGAACACGCCTGTGCTCTTGAGAGCGGAAGTGCCGTCAGCTGTAAGAGTGATCTCCTTGTCACTGCGACCATCACTCGACAGCGCGTAGACGACCCACTTCTGACCGGAGTTGTAGACGATCTCAAACTTGGAACCGCGGACTGGACCACTCAATGGCTGACCGTTGATGGTGGAGACTACTGCACTCGACACCAGTCGAGGGGTGAGACCCGAGTACTTCATCGACGAGTACACCATACCAGACACCAAGTCCGACACCATGGCGCCACTGGACGATCCGGCGGTGAACTTGACGGTCACTCCCTGGTCGGCCCAGTCGACGACTTGGAAGTTGGGCTTCTGCCACACGATCTCCTCGGCCGAAAACAGGACTTCACGGACCATGCCGTGTGCGTAGAACTTGACAGCTCCGTTGTTGCCAGAGCTGCCACCGCTGAAGCGACTGCGATACGGATAGCTGACTGACATACCGAAAGGAGCCTTGTCGACAACCATCTGCAGGGAGTATGGGTTGGACCAAATGGGCTGGATGGCAGCGTTGGCGTCGTGCGCGATGATGTTGCCCCACCAATTGTTGGTGGGGATGGCTCGGGTCTTGATCACGGACGAGTCGAGAAAGCGAGGCGGACACAAACCCATCATGGCGTCGGTGTGCTCGACGAGGTAGCCGGGTGGTTCCAGAGCTCGAAATCCAGAGGAGGCTTCATCACCAACGTCGGGGTCTGCAGCTGACGAGTTGGTGAAGTCAACATCTCCAGCTTCTGGGGCGGTGACGTTTACAGGCGCAAACGTGGGTGCAACGACGGGTGAGTCATCACTGAAGCTGGCAACGACAGGAAGATGCAGGTGCTGGAGAACTGCACCAAGCCCAATAAATGCTGACGCAGAAACCTTCATTCTCGCTCAAGTAGTAGCCGGTTGCTGGTGATCTTGGTTGCGGATGAGGTGTCGAAATGACAAGTGAGGCTGGAGGAGGCTTGGATCGATGGCATGCATTGGTAAGGACAACTCTCCATGACTAAAGAGCTCCGGTAGCATGTTAAAACTAGCGATCGTAGATCACCTTGGACCACTGCTTGACGATCGACCGGAGCTTCGCAACTGAAGCCCTATTCGGCAGCCCGGGTCGTGTTGCTCATCGCCTAGCGTTATCTGAGTCTGGTTATCGATCTAGCTGTACAAAATCTGTTTAAGCAACAGTATAACAATGCGGCGAGGTCAAGACACTTAACCAAACAAGTCACAAGTGAATTCAATTATTTATGTATTATCAACTTTGAGGTGGCACAGGTTTTGGTTGGTCGCACCTTGCGCCTTTCTCGCAGCTCTGGAAGATCCTCGCCCAACAGCTACCGGTTTGTTTGAATTTAGACCCAAGCATACTTCTCGTTGCAGAGCCAGTGAGGTAGTGCTGTCGTTGCACCCTCTTGCGCGTTCCAATGGCGAAACACCATGGCACTCGACTCAGAAAGTTTGCGCTCAGCAACCTCAATCTCGAGGAGACGGCGTACTTCGTTGCGCACCAAACCAGACGGTGGGTCCCAGATCACGACCTTCTTCAGCTTGAACTTGCGTGCTTCTTGCAGCGCAGCATCCAGCAACACACGCGTAGCCGCGGCGGCATTGTCACCGGAATCTGGGAATCGAGCACGACTCACGTACAGCGTCGACTCCTTCAAGTTGTGCCACCAGAGCACGAAAGCGTTGTCGTTAAGCTTTACACCGCAACATGTTGGCAGCCCCTCGAACCCTGCCACTCGAGCGTAGTGCACGCCGTTGATGAACTGCCACTCGATCGAGTCACGTGTTGGTAGGATCAAGAACGCCTCCTTCTTTTCAAACTTATCACCTGACAGTTCTGCCACCAGCCGGGCATTGTCAGTCTCCAGGAACGTGGCCAGGTTATCATCAAGGAACATCGATTCTAGCTTGATGCTGGTGGCAGCAGTGGTAGCGTTTTGAGGGTGGTCAACCTCCAGTGTTGCTGCCTTGGACGGATGGCATTTCCAACCGAGCTTGTCGTAGAACGTTGGCCCAACGTCCGAGTACAGTACCGAGATCAGAGGTTTTGGTAGTTTCTCCAGTTGGTTGGCCACTTCTGTTAGGAAGAAACTCGCAAGCCCGCGCTTGCGGAAATCCGGGAGCGTGAAGACCGAACTGACTTGGTACGAATATCCACGCTCAACTTTCCCAGAGCTATGGCGATAGACACAGTCGAAGCGAAGGGTCTTGCAATGACAGTAGAGTAGATCTCGACCTGCCACAAGACCTGCGTCACTTGTGGATGAGTCCTCCTCTGTTCTGTCCACTAGAGCCCAGTAGAGCGCCCCCGCTTGGGAGAAGCGCGTGACACGCTGCGCTTCATCCTTCCGCTGCCATTGCTCGACGCTTAGAAGAGGCGCTCCCCAGTGCTCGTGGTCGTCAGTCTTGCACTGCAACTTGAGCGCTTCCTGCGTCAGCTGCACCAAGCGAAACTTTTCCATCGCGACGACGAATAAAGGGAGCGGTCCAACAGGATACCGACACTACATGTACAGACTGTAGTACAGTAGCTCATACGTTTTCTTAAGTACGATCATGTTGAAGTGAACTTCGTAATCCACTGAAGGGTTTATTAGACCTCGTTTATTAGACCCAAGCGAATTTTTCGTTGGCCAGCCAGTGAGGAAGAGCAGCATTGACGTCGCCTCTCTGACCAAACACCATGGCACTCGACAGCGAGTCGTCGCGTTCGACGAACTGGATCTCAAATTGGCTTCGAACTTTGTCATCGGCTAAGATCGAAGGGGGATCCCAGATAGCAATCTTCTTCAGCCTAAACATACGAGCCTCCTTCAACGCTTCGTTCAGTAGCAGATGAGTAGTCTTTGCAGCGTTCTTGCCACTCTCCGGGAGCCGAGTACGAACCAGATTCAGCGTCGATGCCTTCAAATTATGGCACCAAATGATGAAAGCGTCTTCGTCGATTTTCACGCCACAGCGACATGGGAGCTCCTCATACTCTTGAGCTTGAGCATAGTACACGCCAATGCAGAACTGCCACTCGATAGAATCACGTGTGGGTAGGATAACAAAAGCCTCTCGCCCTTCAAACTGATCACTAGATAGCTCCGTCACAAGCCGCGCATTGTCGGCGTGAAGAAAACTGTGAAAATTCTCGTCCAAAGTCAGCGACTCCAGCTCTGCCGCGCTGTCGTTGTTGTGCTTGATGTTGAGGGGGTTAGCAACATCCAACGTCGCCATCTTGGACGGGTACAGCTTCCATCCAAGCTTATCATAGTACGTCGGTCCAATGTCCGAGTACAGTACCGATACCATCGATCCCGGTAGCTCTCCCAACTGTTTCGCCACCTCACTAATGAAAAGCTTGGCGAGTCCTCGCTTGCGATGTTGCGGCAGGGTGAAGACCGACCCGATATGGTGCGAATAACCCCGTTCAATACCCCCAGAGCTGCCGCGAACAGCACAATCAAAACGGTGGCTTTCGCAGTGACAGTAAAGCACGGTCTGGCCAGCCACCAGATTCGAGTCCCCAGTGTCTGCTGTATCTTCCACAAGAGCCCAGAAAATGGAACCTCTCTTGGAAAACGGCGTTGCGCGTTGCAGCTCCTCCTTACGTTGGTATTGGGGAGGATTTAACGTTGGAGCTCCCCACTCCTCGAAATCGTCCACCTTACATTGGACTTTGAGTGCCTCCTGCGTCAACTGCACCACCCGGAACTTGGATATCGACATTGAAAAATGATCTTTTGATCTGGCAAAATTGACAGTGATCGTATCAGGGGATATTTGTGAATTATCGAGTTTGAAAAATGTACAGCAGTTTTCAAAAATACTTCTTTGTTTCGGACTTTATCACACTAAGTCCGATTTGTAGCGTGATGTGTACGCTCGGTTCCAGTAGCCAATCGCGTGTAAGATTCCTGTGTGGCGACCAAATCTTCCTTGGTTGGAGTGCCCCGAAGCTCGTCCTCTCGACCCTGTCACTATGAACGGCATGATGGTACTTCCCGCTTTGTTCCTCCCTCTCAAAGGTCTCCTTTAGTCGCTAATATGTATCTCCGTCGAGCAGCAACCCCAGATTATCCTGTTGAAGGAAGGCACAGACACGAGCCAGGGTAAGGCCCAGCTCATTAGCAACATCAACGCGTGCCAGGCCGTGATGGAGGCAGTACGCACGACGCTTGGTCCTCGCGGCATGGACAAGCTTATCCACACTGGCGGAAAGACTACCATCTCCAATGACGGTGCCACCATCATGAACCTGCTGGACGTGGTGCATCCGGCAGCCAAGACGCTCGTGGATATCTCGCTCTCACAGGACGCCGAGGTGGGCGACGGCACCACGTCCGTCGTGCTGCTAGGCGCTGAGTTTATGCGTCAGGCTAAGCCTTTCGTTGAGGAGAACACGCACCCCCAGATGATCATTAAGAGCTTCCGCAAGGCAGGCCAGATTGCAGTCGAGAAGATCAAGGAGATTGAGATCCGCGTGGCCGAATCGGACGAAGTGGGACGCCGCCAGATGCTGGAGCGCGTCAGCGGCACTGCACTGAACTCGAAGCTTATCTCGCGTCACAAGCAGTTCTTCTCCCCCATGGTAGGATGCGACTATCGAGGTACAAGAAGAGGATTTGTTTTGCTGATATAATTGTGTTTTTTTATTGCAGATTGTGGATGCTGTGTTAAGTCTTGACGAGGGTCTGGACATCAGCATGGTCGGTGTCAAGAAGGTGCCCGGTGGATCAGTGACCGACTCGTTCTTGGTGAAGGGTGTGGCGTTCAAGAAGACGTTCTCGTACGCTGGATTCGAGCAGCAGCCCAAGACTTTCGTGAGCCCGAAGATCTTGTTGTTGAACGTGGAGCTGGAGCTCAAGTCGGAGAAAGAGAACGCTGAAGTGCGTCTGGACGACCCCACCAAGTACCAATCTATTGTGGACGCCGAATGGAACATTATCTATGAGAAGCTGGAGCTGTGTGTGAAGAGCGGCGCCCAGATTATCCTGTCCAAGCTGCCCGTGGGTGACCTGGCTACACAGTACTTCGCTGACCGCGGTCTCTTCTGCGCTGGTCGTGTCGCTCAGGACGACATGGAGCGTACACAGCGTGCTACTGGCGGTGTGGTACAGACTTCGGTACATGACATGAACCCATCTGTGCTGGGATCCTGTGGCCGCTTCGAGGAGCGCCAGGTTGGTAACGAGCGATACAACATCTTTATGGAGTGCGCTGAGGCCAAGAGCTCCACGATTGTGCTGCGTGGCGGTGCCGAGCAGTTCATTGAGGAGGCGCACCGGTCGGTGCACGATGCGCTGATGGTCGTTAAGCGGGCTGTGGCGTCGTCTACGGTCGTGGCTGGTGGTGGTGCCATTGAGATGGAGATCTCTCGTCATTTGCGCCAGTATGCGCGCACTATTGAGGGCAAGGCACAGCTGCTGGTGAATGCCTACGCCAAGGCATTCGAGATCATCCCTCGTCAGATCGCCGAGAACGCTGGCCACGACGCGACGGACATTTTGAACCACCTGCGTCAGAAGCACTTCAAGGACCCCGAGGAAGGCAAATGGTTCGGCGTCGACATCACCACCGGCGGCATCTGTGACACACATGAGTCGCACGTGTGGGAACCTGCTGCCAACAAGATTAACTCGATCGCGGCGGCAACGGAGGCGGCGTGCCTGATTCTGTCAGTGGACGAGACTGTGCGCAACCCCAAGTCGGAGCAGCCGCAGGCTGGTGGCCCTGCTGGTGGCGCCCCCATGAGTGCAGCTATGGGCGGCCAGGGCATGCGTGGCATGATGGGTGGAGGCCGGGGAGGCCCCAGTGGCATGGGTCGCGGCGTGCGTGCTTTCCGTGGCAAGGGTGGCGCATAAGCGTCATTGCTGCGGCTTTTGGTAGAGAAGTTGCGGCCTGAGGAGGCTGTACGCTTTGGTAAGCGGCTTGCGAGTTTGACTTTAAGTAAATTGCATGCACATCGACACAAAAATGTACTTCGAGTACAAGTTCGCTGCCCCACAGGCTGTTGTTTCCTACTAGGCTAGTGAACCTGCAAATGAAGTCTGACGTTACATCCAACTGTTGGAAGTTCCAACCACTAACAAATTGGCAAAATTTTGGCAGCAAAGTCACGCTAGGTTACTGACGCCAGTCTTCCTGCAGCTTGAAGTTATGTACCAGTTGTGTTCGCTATACTTGTCTCCACTAAGGGCTACATGGTACCTTCAAGCGTCACGATCTTTGATCAGGGGCGGCTGGCTACCCACCGCTCATTGCTCGCTGCTCCCCTCGAGTTGAGGTTCGACACTTTCTATCTGACCCGCGACCTCCCAAGCAACTCAATCCAAGCTCTTCACAAGAACCATGTTGAGTACGTTTTAAGTAGAAGGATGTCATCGCAGCCGCTTCATCGCTAAGAGGCCCTTGTTTCACATCTGACTGCAGGTCGCATGATCAAGACCAATGCCCGCTACATCGCGGGAGCCGGTGCCGTGACGCTTGGCCTTGCAGCATCCTCACAGTCGCCGTCCAAGACTGCGGAGAGCTCCAACTCGACATCCGAGGTGTTGCTGGACATCTCGGGTCGTCTCAAGAACATCGAGCGCGACCTGGGTATCTCTGGCAGTGGCTCGAGTGTCTCCAAGCCCAAGTACAACAACTACCCAGTGCTTACCCCCAAGCACAAGAGTCTCATGGCCAAGAACCTGTCCCCCGAGATCTATGACAAGCTCAAGGATCGCAAGACAGCCAGTGGCTACACCATCGACCAGGCTATTCAAACCGGTATCGACACGCCTCACCTCGGTGTCGGCGTCGTTGCTGGCGACGAGGAGTCGTATCAAACCTTCAAGGAGCTCATGGACCCCGTCATTGAAGGCTGGCACGGCTACAAGCCCACGGACACCCACAAGACGGACATCGACCCGTCCAAGATTCGCAACGGCAAGATCCCGGACAGCTACGTCATCTCGACGCGTATCCGTGCTGGTCGCAGTGTCCGTGGCTTGGCCTTGCCCCCTGGAACGTCGCGTGGTGAACGCCGTGAGGTCGAGCGTGTGCTGTCCAAGGCTCTGAGTAACCTCACGAGGGACCTGGCGGGCAAATACTACCCGTTGAGCAAGATGACCAAGGACGAGGAGCAGCAACTCATTGACGACCACTTCTTGTTCCAGAAACCTGGTGGCGGCACTCTACTGACCAACGCTGGCGCTGCTCGTGACTGGCCCGATGGACGTGGCATCTTCCACAACAACAACAAGACCTTCTTGGTCTGGGTGAACGAGGAAGACCACATGCGAGTGATCGCCATGCAGAACGGTGGCAACATCCAAGAAGTGTTCGACCGCTTCAGTCGCGGAGTCTCGGATGTCGAAAAGGTCGTCAAGGGCGAAGGTCGCGAGTACATGTACGACAACCACTTGGGCTTCGTCTGCACGTGTCCGTCCAACCTGGGAACGGGACTGCGTGCTAGCGTCATGATCAAGTTCCCGCAGCTCTCCAAGGAGTCAGAACGCTTCTACGACTTGTGCTCTGCGCTGGGTCTGCAGGCTCGTGGTTCTAAGGGCGAACACTCGCCTCCGGGTCCTGGTGGCGTCTACGATGTCTCCAACAAGGCTCGTATCGGCTATTCGGAGGTGGAGCTGGTGCAGGCCATGATCGACGGCATCTGGAAGCTCATTGAGCTTGAAGAGGATCTGAAGAAGGGTCGCTCGATCGACAAGAAGGTTGCTGAGATCCTGAAGTAAAGCTCGCATGTTGAAATACGTGGCTTGAGTCGGTCAAGTGGCGCTCTTGTGAATGTTCAAAGGGAGGCGTGATGGGTCGGATGGTCCCCTCATTGTACCGGTTTGCGAGGAAATCTACGCGCAGTCGAGAGACACCAACATCAGTTGATAAAGTAAAAAAAAATGTGCTACGTCTCTTCATTACAACCGTCTAGCATTGTCAGGGCACGCTCTCTATCATCATTGCAATCAACAGCACGAGACAAACCTGCACAGCACTAGTTGATCGGTTGTCTGTTGATACAGCCGGTCTCTAAGCCTGTTGGCGGTCACTGACTGTAGCGCGACTGTCGTTTGTCCTTATACTGAAAAGGTTTCGCATATTTACAGAGCCTTGGTGACGCCCTCCATGTGCTTAACCACCTCCAGCACCGACTTAAAGCTGAAGGGCTCCGTGGCGGCCATGTCGGCCAGCACCTTGCGGTTCAGTTCGATGCCCGAGCCGTTCATCTTTCCGTAAAGCTTCGAGTACGAGAGTCCCTCCTGGCGAGCACCAGCATTGATCTTTTGGATCCACAGCGAACGCATGTCCTGTGTGTCATCAGCAACAATATACTCATGTAAGTAATTCTAAAAAATAATTATAATGATGACCAGTTCGTACGCGCTTCTTCTGCTTGCGGTCCCGATACTGGTACTGCAGACCCTTCTCCACGCGGTTGATAGCTGTGCGGTAGCACGAGTTGGCGCGACCGCGATAGCCCTTGGCCATAGCTAGGATCTTCTTGTGCTTGGCCCACGACATGTTGCTCTGGTCTCCTGCGTCTACCAAATAGAGGGTGCGGTTGGGACTTATGGCGACCACTGATTTATGTCCAATTATAAATTTCTATATTCTAATTGGTTTAAAAGAATCAATTGCGGCTGTTATAGCCGCACAGAGCAACTGCCACTAGGCATCATGCTGCACCGACTTGGCCGCCGCTCGACTGCCACTTCCGCCCAGCGGTCACTGCGCCGATCAGCCATGACGCCACCGCAGCGCCAATCCTTTCATTTCAGCTCGTCAGCACGCAAGCCGGCATCTTTGGATGCTCAGAACCGCGTAGCTGGTGCTGCCTCCTTTTTCCTGGACGCCAAGGCCGTTTGCAAGGGCAAGCGCTGTGCATTGGGCAAGAACAACAGCGGTATTGGAGCTAACCCGGCCACATGCGGGGAGGATTCGTTCTTCCTCACACCTGACGTGGTGGGCGTGGCTGACGGCGTCGGTGGTTGGAACGAGAACGGCGTGGATCCAGGCAAGATATCGCGCTCGCTAATGCGCAACGCGGCATTATTTGTGCAGCAGCAGACGGCCAATAGCGAGAGTGCCACCACGCAACAGGTTCTGGCTCACGGCTACAAGCAGGCGCTGCTGGATGACGAGGTGGAGGCGGGTAGCACGACAGCCTGTATCGTGAGACTGAAGCAGTCGTCTGAGGGCAAACCCGTGCTTGAGTACTCGAACCTCGGAGATTCTGGCTTCGTGGTCATCCGCAACGGCGAGATAATCTTCCGCAGTAAATTTCAGGTTCGAATTGACTGTTGGGAGTGACAGTAGAAGAGTTACTGACGGCGTTGCTTTAGTATTATGGACGTGCTCCGTACCAACTGGCAAAGATCCCTCTGCGGTTTAAGCAGTATGGTGCTATTGAGAATCACCCTGATGATGTAAGTCTGCTTCGCATTTGGATACTATTTATGCTGGAGACAGTACAATGCTAACGGTTATTGCTCCAGGCGGACTCGGGTGAGATTGACGTGCAAGACGGAGACCTCGTTGTACTAGCCACTGATGGTGTTTGGGACAACTTCGCCCCCGACCTCCAGAAAGCTCCTTCGCAGTTCCCGGTAAGATTCTTTACCGCCGTGTTCGAGCTACCTGTAATTACTGACTTTGTTTCTCGTTATTGTCTGCTATTTCTACCGTAGCCGATGCTCTCCTGGCGAAGATATTGGTCAGGTGAACTCGCATCTTTTGTGGATGTTATTGCAGAGAACCCCGACAAGGCTGCCGAAAATATCGTCCTGGCCTCGCTCCGCCACAACCTTAAGCCCGACGACATCACTGTCGTCGTGGCAAAGGTAGTCGTGATGGCATCAAAGCTGTAGCTATACGTGCTGGTGTCAAGTGACCTCGACGTGTATTCGCATAGATAAAACTACACTGATAATCCCAAGTAAAATCTGCTGGGAATGTTTGGTCGATTATTGGATGCCGTGCCTCCATACTGTCATCCGATGGCACGCTGGCGTAATCGGCGCAAACATGGATACCAGCATTATTGGAGTTTGCTGCATGCAAGCTAAACGGTCTGTACAATGAGGCATATTATTTGGCAAGGTTATGAGCGGGCTCATTGAGCTTCGTCGCGATCTTACAAGGTATTATAATACAAAAGCACTCCATGTTGAAGGAAAAAAAGCGATAGCAGTTTTTCAGCCAGTCACCTCCCATCATTCGTACTTGATTTCACTAGGCCATTCAGGTCGGAACAAAAGACAGTCTGTCGAGTGATCGCTATCGCATTCCGATTTTGAGCTCCGTCGTAAGCTGCGCTCATATACGGTATTCCGACCTTGCTCTTTGATACGTGACGACATCAACACACGAGCAAGCTCAAAGTCCAGCGTTGAATTGACTTCTTCATCATCCAATATTAACGAGCATGCCGGACCAAGCTCTCAACCGAGCGATGCATCGTGCTCCACCGATCCGCGCGCACTCCGACTCGTCGGAGTCTTCCCGTCGAAGTCGCTCCCGCCCCGGCAGCACACATATGTCCAGTAAGCCCTCGCCATTCCACAACCTGCTCAAGGCCCGCCAGCGTCGACGCACTTTCAGCGGTACGTCGGGAGAGTTCAACGAGATGCTCAACCTGGAGTGTAGCACAGCCAAGTCGGTTGAAGTGTTTCATGGTGAGGCCAGAGGCATCCTGCATGGCATTTTCTTCTTCCTGCTGCTGCGCTTCGTGCTGGCGCTTGTGGTCGCTGTGGGCGCGGTGGGGATAGCTGCGGTGATCATTCTCATGGTCAAGGAGCCCAACGCGTCGCTCACGAGCTACTTGCTCTTCTACTCATGAGAGGATTAAGTCGCCATTTACGGCTCGTCGACACAGAGTAGGTAGCTGATATGGTATTTATTTGGTAGTCACGTTGAGACAGTTCACGCACCATGGGTGAATTCTGTCCAGATTCCACCCTTCCTGCGTTGCAAGCGTGCTAAAATAGCGTTGTTGCACCTTGAGCCAAAAGATAAACACCGATCCTCTGTACTTAGATGCAAAATTATTCTATTCGACGTAACCTAACAGCAACAATAACTACCGACAAAAAAGAGGACAAAACGTTTTGCTGCTGTGCCCCAGCATCATTTTTACCTGATTAAAAATAATTATTCTAATTGTCCTGATGCAATCTCTTTATTATTGTTGGCTATCACCGTATATTCATCTTCCACCTGCACTTTAAATAACATTTTCACAAACACTACACAAAATGTTTAGTTTAGCGTCGTGCTCGATGTCACGGGCCGTTTCTAAGCCGCTATGAAACTTTGCTCACATCAGCGCAAAATATAGTAATGGCCTGTCCAAGTTGCACTACTTACCTGCTTGTACTGCCTATTTGAGCTTGTAAGAAACTAAAGATTGATCACCTCTCATACTAAACTCAATGAAAGCTAGAAAATATTCAAATTGTAGCATTTTTAATGCATGGGGCGTTCATTTTGTGCTGACTCAGAATGAGTCATTAGACTCTTAATTCTGTGCCAGTTATGATTAAAGCATTTGGATAATGTGTCGCAAGACGCCTTGTTGCGGCTGTTGTTGACGGCGGTGTTTTCATTTGATACTTTAAGAAGGGCTTTGGTTAAACGTCAATTAGGCTCTAACGTTACATTTATTAACGTTTCTTTATGGGGTCTGCTTAACCAATTATAATTTACACCTCTCATGTCGTGTTGTTGGCTTACCGCTCCATTTAAAACCTTATCCTACGCCCTTGTCAGCAACACGTCCGCCTACCAAGTGCATGTAGTATCGAATTTTGCTTTTTAAAAATCGCTTACATATATGCTGTTTTTGCTCAATCTAAATGTAGATATATACATATATAAATATATATAGATATATACATATATTTGTGGCTCAAGCGACAACGTTTATTAGCACAGCGTTGTCAGTCCTTACGGCCGGCTACTGATGTACATGTAACATGTACGGTTTGGCAGTACCTCATAGAAACCCACTCAGATAACTTATTAATGTTAATATTCTTACAACAAAACAAATGTAGTTATCATTTTAGCATTGTAACTTGCACAAATTACTGAGTAGAGAGTATTGCGTATATTAATAGCATGTCCTCTTAAATAGGCATTCCTATGTGTCCGCTAAGCACCTTGCAGCAAACTCCCAGATTAGCACTCGAATCTTAAAACAGCATGCATTATTAAAATAGTAATAAAATTAAAACGATGCCGCCTTCAGATAATGGATGCCTAGTGCAAAACTCCATAGTACACTGTAAGCCACATGAATGTACTGATGTAAGATACACGATCTAAGTGTTTCGTGTGATGGACGGACGGACAGCGTGCTAGCGCTGATAGTTTAGGATTAGCCGTTCGCCATCGCTACGCGACGGTGTGGCATGGTTTGTTGGAGATGAGGTGGACGCAGCCTTAAGTGCTTCGGTACATCGTGTTCTTTTGCTTATGCTCCTGTACTTCCAGGTTGTGTGTGCCTTCGTCCACCTCAGTACGTCGTTTCATGTGCTTAAACCACTTAACATTCCATTGTCTCACGTGGACCCGCACGATATCGTGGTTTCATAGGCTACCGTTACTTCGTACTACAAATTGGACTTCGTGTTCTTTTGTGGGCCGTGCTCTTCCGTGTCCTTCCTGGCTTCGTGGTTCCCTACTCACCGGTAGCTCACACCGCTTAGTGGTTATGCGTTATCACTTTTGGTTTCATGCTCGTCCGTAGTACAACTCTCTTTCGTGGCTTCTAACTACTACGTGCTTCAAAGAGTTTGCGTGGGTTCCACACATGTCGTGGTCGGTAATCATAAATGGTATATGGCGTCACATCGCCGGTACCCTCGCTGATGGGTGATCTTCCGTAGTTTTGCTTATCCACCGCCCGTGTGTCGTGCTCGCCTGGCGTGGCTTCATCGACCGCGTTTTCGCGCTATCGGGCAATTGCGGTGTGGTTCTGATGTATATGGTATTGTGCTCGCGTAGTGTATATGCTGCTTTGCCCGTGCTATCGTGCTCATCAATGATACCGTGTTCCGCGGTGTGCAATCGTCGTCTCCCGAAGCGTTCCCCCGTGCGTTCGCGGCTAATCCGCCATCCGTGCAATTGTGTTATAATATAGTATCGCTCTTCGTGGCTCGGTGATCTCAGGCTTCACTGGTATCGTGCTCCGTGGCCCATTGATTTTTCGTCTATAGCTCCCGTGGCTGCTTGCTCTCTCATGATTTAGTGGTTGGCCCATCGTCCATGCTATCGTGCTATATCGTGGTGTCGCGGTTGGTCTGTCGTCCGTGCTTTCGTTAGTTATAGTAGTATGGCGATCCCCAATGAGTTCCGGTTCTACCCTGGTATCGTGTTCCAATGCTCGCTAATCTCCCGTTTATGATCTAGTGCGGTTTCATCTTTGGTGGGTCGACTGTGCTCCGTGATCTACCGTGGTGTTATGGAAGAAATCCTGTCCGTGCACTCTTACCGTTACGTGTTCTACCGTGGCTTCGAGCGTGCATGCTTTTTCGTAGCCCGTGCTTTTCAACATTTTGGGGTGTCAATTTTTCAATTACCTTCCGTGATCCGTACGCTCCCGTCATGTTCTTGTCCTATTAAATTTAAATGGTTGAGTGCTCGTCCGTGGTTTGTGCTTCGCATGAAATTTCGTGGCCTATGCTTTCATCGTCCGTGGCCTTCCGTATTTCAAGTTGTTCCTTCAATCGCATCGTGTACATAGTCTGACTTGGTGTTCCTCCGTGTTTCGTGTTCTTGTTCAATCACGTGTCTCCGCGCTAACTTAATCTCAAACACGGCTCCCAGAGCCTTGAATGTACGCTACGTATTATGTTGGAAAGGCGCACATTCTCTAAGGGAGCGCAAATACAAAGGCAGACGTCCTTTTTCGCGACAGCGGGGTGGTGTGTGTTGGACATGTAAAGTCATATTTTCAAAGTTTCTAGCTCTAATATTAGTAATAGCACTATGTATATTTATCTAGCGCTAATATAATAAGTGCGTATACTACTACAAACAACTGCAAGCAAAAATATGAAAGATATTAAAAAATAGTACTATGCAAAACAATCTTGTAAGTGAAATAATTATAAAAGTACTATGAACTTAAAATATAATATTTGCTAGCTATAAGTACTAAAGGGACTATTTAAGACGAAATGTACGTCACCAGGTCCTACAAATTTTATTACCAGCTCATAAGAATGTATAATATGTATGTACTGATCGGCGAAGTCTACCAGTGCAAACTAACCCGCACACAGGCAGCGCCCCTGGCGAACCGAGGCAAAAAGAAATTTGAACGGTGCTTTTAAGTACGATATGTAGACCACATACAGTGTGTAAGCCACATAATGCAATTTTAGCCAATTGGGGTCACCTTCGCTGCGCTCAGCAGCCAGTGGGACGCAGGTGTTTGCGTTACTTTTTCGAATTCTAGCCCGGTACGGACGGACGGACAGAACTCCACTAGGGAGGCTGACTAGCCATTCACCGCCGCTACGCGGCGGAGTGGCCTGGTTTGTTCGAGATGAGGTGGACGCAGCTTTACGTACTTCGGTGCATCGTGTGCTTTTGCATATCATCCTGTACTTCCGTGTGCCTTCGTCCAGCTCAGTACGTCGTTTCGTGTGCTTAAACTACTTACCATTCCGTTGTCTCACGTGGCCGCGCACGATATCGTGGTGTCGTAGGGTACCGTTGCTCTGTACTACAGATTGGATCTCGTGTTCTTTCGTGGTCTGTGCTCTTCCGTTTCCTTCCTGGCTTCGGGGCTCCCTACTCACCCGCAGCTAACATCGCTTAATGGCTCAGCATTATTGCTTTTGATTTTATACTCTTCCGTAACCCACCCTCTTTCGTACTCCGTGTTTTCAAACGCTTACGTGGGCTCCACACGTTTCGTGGTTCCTAATCCTCCGTGGCCCATGGCGTTTCATCGCCAGTACCAGTGCTCTTACGTGGTTTCGGTGTCTCCATGTAGCTGTGTGGTTCCGTCGCCTGTGTATCGTGCTCTCGTGGTGTGGCTCCGACTTCCGTGCTATCGTGGTGTCACGGTATGGTTCTTTTATCTGTCTCGGATATCGTGAGCTCATTGTGTATATCTGTCGGCCGTGTCATCGTGCTTTACCGTGGTATCGTGCTCCGCGGTGTGGCTCGCGCTCTCTCGATGTATTTTTTCTGGTTTCGTGGTTGGTGCGTCGTCCGTTCTATCACGTTCTACTGTAGTATTGTCCGCCGTGGCTCGGTGAGCTCAGGTTCTACACTGGTATCATGCTCCGTGGCTGCGTGTTCTCCCATGGTTTAGTGGTTAGACCACCGTCCATGCTATTATGTTTTATCGTGGTGTCGCGGTTGGTCTGTCGTCCAGGCTATCGTCCAGTCTATCGTTGAGCTACCGTTGTATCATGCTCCGTGGCTCGTAAGCTCCGGTCCTATCCTGGTATCGTGTTCCAATGCTTGGTGATCTCCTATTTATAGCTCCCGCGAATTCATGTTTGATACGTCGATCGTGCTCCATGCTCTACCGTGGTGCTATGGGATAATTCATGTCTGGGTACTCTCACAGTTGCGTGTTCTATCGTGTCTTCACACGTACATGCTCTTCCGTGGCCTGTGCTTTTTAACATGATGGGGTGTCCTAATTTTAGTTCCCTTCCGTGGTCCGTACGCTCCCGTCATATTCTTGTCCTTCTGTATTTTTGGTGGCTACGTGCTCTTTAGTGTTTCACGCTACGCATAACATTTCGTGGCCAGCGTTGGTTCAGTCCTCTCTCATCGTCCGCGGCCTTCCGTGCTTCGTGTTGTTCCCTCTATCCCGTCGTGTACATAGTCTGGCTCGGTGCTCCTCCGCGTTTCGTATTCTTGTTTAATCATGTGCCTCCGTGCTAATTTAAGCTCAAACCATATTTCCGGTGCGTTTAATGTACCCAACGTATCG